AGTTGAACTAGTTGAACAGTAACAGCAGTGTAGCAACAGTATAGTGTAATCAAGTGAGATGCATAAGCAGTACTTGTAATATTTGTAAATTGTAAAACAATTATACATAGTAAGCAATATAAATGGTACTGCAGCAGCAATGTACTATGATAGAGTGGTAATTGCAGGAGGCGGTGCCTTCTAACAACAACATTATTGCATGTATGTTCATGAATGTTCAGCAGTGTTCACTGTTATGTGTACTGGACTGTATGTAAACAGCATACGTTGGCAGATAGTGTGGACATTGTGAGTTCAGGTTTGTTTGAGAGCGGCCACAGCTCTGGGGAAAAAACTGTTCTTAAATCTGGTTGTGCGAGCATAAATGGCTTTATGACGCCTGCCAGATGGCAGCAGATGACGTTAGTTGCCTTCCTGAGACACTGTATTCAGTATATGTCCTCCAGTGCTGGGAGTTGAGTCCCGATGATCCTTTGTGCGCTGGAGACAACACGCTGAAGTGCCCTCCTGTCTGCTGCAGTGCAGTTGAGATACCACGTTGAGATGCAGTATGACATGATGCTCTCCGTAGAGCAGCGGTAAAAGTGTCAGTCTGGCTTTTTTCATTGTTCTCAGGATATACAACCGCTGCTGTGCCTAACAGTGGTGTTAGTGGTCCAGGTAAGGTCCTCTGTGATGTGAACCCCTAGAAAACGGATGTTGGGAAGCCTCTCCACCCTCTCTCCACCGATGAAGACCTGAGCATAATTCTGATTCTGGGATCTCCTGAAGTCAACTATGAGCTCCTTGGTCTTCCCAGTATTCATAGACAGGTTGTTCCTCAAACACCAGTCCTCTAGGTTGTGTAGCATATCTCCGCTCTGTAGGCTGATTCGTCCATGATCAGCCCCACTAAAGTCATGTCATTGCAAACTTTACTATGGTGTTGGTGTCAGATGGAGGCACACAGTCGTGGGTTAAGAGAGAGTACAGAATGGGACTGAGCACACACCCCTGTGGTGTACCTGTGCCCAGAGTTATGGTGGAGGATGTGCAGGGGCCCAGTCTCACTACCTGTGGGGGCTCTGTCAGGAAATCTTGCATCCAGTTGCAGAGCAGTGGGATCAAGCCTAGATGGTGGAGTTTTGTGGTCAGTTGCAGGGGATGACAGAGTTGAATGCAGAGCTATAGTCCACGAACGTACGTGAGGTTACTGTAGTGTTGATGTTCCCAACGCTGCAGTCTGTCAGACAGAGGCCACTGTGCCACCTCAGTTGAGCCAGCTGCAGGATCATGAGACAACAATTATTGGTCAGATTGCTACATAACCCAACACACAGCAGTTCAATGGTTTCTGCTTTAAAATGACTTTAATTTGCACTTTAAGTGTAGTTGGTAACTAACATAAAAGATTTAATTGAAATTTGTATTTATGAGGTGAAGTTGTATATTTTGCACTGAAAAAAAAAAGTATATATATTTTTATGACCACTACGGTTCACTTAAGTATAGCTCTGTAGTGTGACATGGATTTTTAAAGGCAAAACTATTCAGTGTAGTATCTCAATTAATATATAAATTAGAAAAGTGTTTTTTTTTATGTTTTACATGAATTAAGTGCTGTCACTGATTGACATTGTATGTATTATGTATGTTTATTTATCTTTTAACATACATCAATTCCTGCAGTTATGAAATCGGCATTCAATGGCGTAAAGGAGGCTTTAGAACTTCATTCAGCGACTCATTTAAAAAATGGCCTTCAGGTATCAATTTGTATTGCAATATTTATCTATTTATCTAACTAATCATTTTGTCCTATTATACTTGTCTCACTCTCTTCTTTGCAAGCACTCTTTAGTGTATCATATATTAACTATTTAGAGCACTTGACCTGTCAGACCTGTTTAGACATGCTCTACATGCTTAGAATTTATATTCATGAAAATGTACGTTTTTTCAGTGCTTATGATTGAAATGTTATGAATTGCATTGAACTGTGAATTGTAAATCTTACACAAATCTATTTTTTGATTTGTTGATCGGGTGGCAATAAAATTTGCCTCCATCTGGAACACAAAACTTTCAGTTTCTCTTCTCAGTCACTGTTTCATTTTCAAACATCTCGTATCAACATTTATCATAGACTACAAATTATTTTTCAATAAACTACTGCCATTGTCAACAGATTGTAGGACTTGTTTATGGGACTGGATGGTTATTCCAAACCACTTCCACTTGAGGTCGCTCTGTTAATTCTTGCAAATCAAGACCACAGGCCAAGGTTCCCAAATTTTCCAGCTTCAGGACTGACAGGGATCCTGGCCACTACAGCACATTACATCCTACAGCAGCCCGTGCCTTGTGAGGAGTTAAATTGGTTTGCCCCGCGGCAAGTGACTACTGAAGAGGATGTGGCATGGGTTATCATGCACCAGGCAACATTCACAGATTAAAAGTGCTGCCAATGCTGTAGTGTTGCACCAACAATGAACCTGAATGTATTTATACAATAAACCTGATTTCTGCTTTTGTTTCAGATTGCAGACATAAAGAAATTAGGGGGAAAAAAGAGAAAATAGTGTAATTAAAATGAGATTAAGTTCCGTGACAGCCACGACAGGAACCCAATGTTGCTTCGAGCTACAGTTTAATGTAGAAAAAAATTATCACCCAAGGACCAGTCAGTCCAAAATTGAACAAATTGAATGAATGAATGATTCATTTATTAAAACATGTCACCACCTCCTAGTGGTTTTCATTTCATATATGATAGAACCATTTTTTTTTTTTTAGCATTTCATATTTCTATAATCAAAATCGTATTATTTATGCAGCTGATTTCCTTTGATTGTCAGCTGCCAATATTTTTATGGTATATCGTATAGTAATTAAATTATGTTTTTTTTAATAAGTAGTTATGAAAGGGGTGCCCTTTTTCACCTGCCCACCAAAATGTATGTGCATGGCCCTGCAAGACAATACATGTGCATTTCACAGTAAAATATTGATAGTTATGTTTTTCATTAGTAAAAATATGAGTACCCTAATTTTAAGTTAAAAGCAGTAAAAAGAGGCTGATTATATTTCTGTAACGCCCCTGTGGACTGTTTATTGTGGTTTCTTCCCATTTTGTTGGTTTAGCCCGTACTATCATTAGTTAATTACCCTCATTGTGCTCACCTGTCTGCCACTAATTATCCATCCTATATCAGTTCCTGTCCATTGTGTTCCAGTTTGTCGGTTATTGTGAGTGTTACCCCGAGTGTGTGTCTCATCTTCCTGAATCTGCTTTGTTGTGTCTACATTAAATATCTTTATTGGAATCCTTGTCGTCCTCGTCATCCTGCCTGCCTCCACACACCATAACCGTGACAGAATAACCGACCCAAAAGTAAAGTATAGCGGGACATAAGGGCCAGAATATGGAGGGAAGTCTGTCAAAACGAGGAGGAGAGACCTCGGAATCCCCCGTTCAGCCCGGGAAGGGCTCCTGATCCCCCGTTCAGCCCGGGAAGGGCTCCTGATTTTTCGTTCAGCCCAGGAAAGGGCTCCTGATCCCCAGTTCCACCCAGGAAAGCGCACTCCAGTGCCTGCTCCTAGAAAGCGCCCTCCAGTGGCCGCTCCTCGAAAATGCCTGCCCTCCCACCCGCTCCAGCCTCCTCCACCGCTGTCGTCTGGCAGCCCTTCTGCTCGCCCTCAGCCCACCATCAGTACGGTGCGAGCCCCGTGGGTCTGCCAGTCTCCATCGTCGACGTGGTTGGCTCTCCGTCTCTGCCTCGGGCTCCTACCACCTGCTCCGCCGCCATTGGTCGGCCCCCTGGAGTCGGGGGACATTCCTCCTCCATGGCTCCTCCCTCTGTCGGCTCCACCGTGGGCCGCTATTATGGCTGTGGCCTGGGTCCCACCTGGCACCGCATGCTCCAAGTCCCTCCTGTTTCCTCCCTGGCTCCCCCCTCAGACTGATCCGCCATGGACTCTGTTCGTCGTCCTCCTCCCGAGCCTTCTCCCAAGGTCCCACCCTCCCTGTGTTGTTCCTGAGGCGCGAGGATGCGCCTTCCGGGAGGGGGGCGATATGTCACGCCCCGTCCCTGGCTCCTCCCTCCATTGTCACCTCCCTGGACTCTGTTAGCCGTCCTCCTCCTGGAAGTCCGTCCTCCGCCGGAACCTCCACCTGTCTGGTCTGCATGCCAGCCCTTTGCCTTCCCCCGTCACCATCTCACATCCACTGCTTTGTCCTCCTAGTCCCCCTCCGCCCCTCCCTCTGTTTCTACGGTGCGAGGACGCACCTTCCGGGAGGGGGGTGTAATGTAACGCCCCTGTGGACTGTTTATTGTGGTTTCTTCCCCTTTTGTTAGTTTAGCCCGTACTATCATTAGTTAATTACCCTCATTGTACTCACCTGTCTGCCGCTAATTATCCACCCTATATCAGTTCCTGTCCATTGTGTTTGTCACAATGTTTGACATCACAAATCACAAATGTTTAACAGTTTGTCGGTTATTGTGAATGTTACCCCGAGTGTCTCATCTTCCTGAATCTGCCTTGTTGTCTACATTAAATATCTTTATTGGAATCCTTGTCGTCCTCGTCATCCTGCCTGCCTCCACACACCGTGACCATGACAATTTCAGTTACATAGCTTTTATTTTATTTTTATTTTATTTTTCTTACCCCAAATAAATTTATGGACCTAAATATAAAACATTTTGTTAAGACACTTCAAAGCAAATTAAATACTTCAAACGTTCGACAGGGTGGTGGCTCTCTTTATTCCCGTGTTAAAAAATGTACAGTATTTTAAAATAAATGTAGTGGGCCAGTAATTATATTTTCAGCCCTATGTTAGAATAAGCATCACTCCTTGAGTAAATACATTAATTAAAATAAACAATCATTCAATATGATACAATTGAATAAAAATCTTCCTCCCTTTAACTTTTTAAAAATGTACTTTTTATTATTACTATTAACAATGTCATGAAATTTTCTCAGTGCTAAAGGATAAATAAGTTGCCTTTTTATACCAATAATGGGTTCCTGCACAGGCAATTTATACGATAGTTCTCATACAACAGATAGTGGGTTGTATGTATCAAGTCCTGCATGTGTGTGCGGATCAACATGTTCCTCAGATGCACAAAATCACTGTGAGATGGATTCTCAGCTGTTGGAGAGAAAAAAGTGATGTTTACATATGATACCCATCATTTATGACCTCTGTGCTATATTCAGTGAATGAAAACACAATGTTGGTCTCTCTCTGTATGGGAAAGAGCAATGTTATCCTTCAGAACTTCTCATTTTGTGTTTGACAGAAGAAAGCACGGTGGCTAAGAGAGATCAATTTAAGCTGCAATTTAAGAAAACACATGCAAATAGAAAAAGCACAAGCAAATTAAGAAAACATCATTTTGACAACACGTGCTGCAAGTACTCAAAATACAGAAATGCCCTGCAAATACTCGCAACACAAGCAAATACAGAAACGTGCTGCAAGTAGAACAGACCACAAAGGAACCCTTATGAAAATTAACCATGGTTTTACTACAAATAAAACCAAAAAACCATGGTTACTATAGTTAAACCATGGTAACCACAAATTAACCATGGTTTTGCTAACCATAGTTTAACCATGATATTTGTGGTTAAACAAATGGTAGTCAGTACGCCAAAAAAACATGGTTACTACACTTTTACTATAATAAAACCATGGCTAATTTTCGTAATTCGTAAGGGAAATGTTTCAAGGGGACCCCAACATCCCTTACGAAAATTAACCATGGTTTTAGTATAGTAAAAGTGCAGTAACTGTGTATTAACTATAGTAACCTTTTTTTTAATAGTTAAACCATGGTTAATTTTCGTAAGGGAAGTTGTAAATGTAAGTTGTGTAAATTGTGTAGCCTTTTTCGTCAGCTTATGTAGGCTAATAATATCCAAAAAAAAGCTAAGGAGTCAGATCAGGGTGTTAAAAATAAACAAAAATCTCACCTTTCAGAGTAGACAATGATAAACGTCCCAGCCAGGTTCGTCACTTGTTGCGGTTCCCTTAAAGGGGTCCTATTATGCTTTTTCACTTTTTTAATTTTAGTCAGTGTGTAGTGTGTATGTTTGGGCATAAAAAAGATCTAGAAAGTTACAAATCTCAAAGTCCACTCCAAAGGGAGATATTTCGTTTTTTAAAAATCCATTTTCAAGAACTACAACGAACGGCTCGTTTGGACTACAGCGTTTGTTTCCGGGCTTTGTGATATCACAAAGCGGCTCATTAGAAGATCAATAAAAATAAATTCGAACGGTTGGGGGGTGGGGAGGGGCAAGGTTGTGGTTAGAACATTTGGTTGAGTGAGTGCAGCAGACCAGACGACAAAGAAGAAGTGCTGCTGCAGAGTTACTGCATCAGAGAAAACCAAGAAGAGCTGCTGTGCTGTAGCGTCAAATTTTCGGCATGTCTAGAACAATTCTTACAACACGACGTAGCTGGGCGCTGCAGACAGATGCCGAACGGCGCCGCCGGTGTGCCTACACTCATAGAAAATAATGTATTTGAATTTTAAAAACGTGGCGCGACGTGATGCTGCGCTTCTCGTCCGGTATGCGACCGCCTGAAATGCTGTTTTTTTTCACCTCCATGCCCAAACGTATTTGTTTGGGCTTCCGAAAGCGGATGATGTCAGGAAACAGTGGTTTCCAATTCCAATTCCAATTCCAACAATTCAAATTCAATTCCAACAATTTATTTTTTAACTCTGTTCCTGAGCATTATAACCCCAATTTGCTATTGTGTGCTGCGCATTTTACTGAGGACAGCTTCCACAACATGAGGGAGTACAGTGCCGGATTCGCCAAAAAGCTTTTGTTGAAAGACGGAGCATGGGGCGTGGCAGTATTGAAGCACCATCTAAGCTGTTCGCCAATCACAATGCACTGGGACAGCTAACCAACCACAACACATTTTGTTTTCGATGTGTATTTGAAGCGCGTTTCTGTATTTGCTTGTATTGCGAGTATTTGCAGCACGTTTCTGTATTAGGTCGCATTATGAGTATTTGCAGCACATGTGTTGTCAAACTGATGAAGATGTTTTCTTAATTTGCTGGTGTTTTTTTCTATTTGCATGTGTTTTTTTTTTTTTAGCTTTCTCGGCCAACGTAAGAAAGTCAGATTGGAAACAACATGATGACATAATTTTTATTTTTGAGTGATCTATTCAAGTTAAAAAATAACTAGGCTCTTTATACTTTAGCATCTTAAATGTTGCCTTAAGTATACAGTAAATGTAACATCTCATGAAGTAACAAGTAAACATACTTTCTACAATACCCCATGGATAGACACGGGCTCGAACTCTCCTGCCGTTTCTCTCTGCTACTGCATTACTCCCAATAACAGCAAAGGGTATACTTCTCTATGAAAGGACATGGAAACATTATAGAGTTGACACAGAAGTTTTATAAAAATTATCAAAAGGCCAAAAAGCTAAATCCTTGTAAAAAACAAAACAAAAAACAACTTAATTATATTGAATGTGCACTTGTACTGTGCTTAAAATCTTAAAAGTATTTTTTAAAAACTGTACTTGTACATAATACCAATTAAATAAAAGGCCACTTAAGTGTACTTAAAGAGAGTACACTTTCATGACTGTTAACACATGTAAGTACACTTCGTAATAATGTCAAATTAAAAGTTTTACCTTAAAGAACATTTTAAATCATTATGTTTCAATAATCTTCTATTGTGCTTTAAAGTACAATTATTTTAATGTAAACTAAAATACTAAAAGCACATGTAAAGTAGGCCTATTGATTATTTTAACTGTAGTGTGGAATTTGAAATTACATTTAAAGTTAATATATATTAAATTGAATAAATGTACTTTTCATCATTAGAAATGTGTATTTACAAATATATTAAAATAAAAGACATACAAGTTTCAATAATATGGCATTAGTTTACCAAATTACAAATGCTTTTTGTGACATTTGACAGTACACTTTACTTTTTTTGTGTACTTTCTTCACAAGTGAAATAATGTCATTACAACTTTTAAAAAGCAAAACAAAATCTGTGACTCTTTTCTAGTAGAAAATAATAATCACTATGTGACCTGTAGTCCTGACCTTTATCTCTTCAGTCTGCTGCTTGAAGAGATCTTTATTATCTGGGTCACTATCTGGGACCTGGAAGATCTTGATTTTGAATTTGTCAATTTCAGTCAAAATCTGTGGAGACAACTGCATTACATTTGTTTAGACGGCAGATTTAGTGTTTTTTGTTGACAGTCCCATGCATGTTCTCAAAAATAGATACTCTTTTGAAACATCTACCACTGTATGTGAGTTTTCTCACCTTTGACTTCATATTGTGGGTCTCTTTTGGAGTGAGGCTGTCTGCTTTAGCCAGCACAGGCACAATGTTGACCTTCTGATCCAGGGCCTTCATAAAGTTCACATCAATTGGTTTGAGACTGAGACAGCACAAAGGACATTTGTTAATTAAATGTGGTCTCTATTTTCATGGTTACTAAAATCCTGGGATAGAATAAACACAAAAAAACACCTGTGCTGAGAAGAGGTCTTACCCATGGCCATGAGGCGAAATGAAGTACAGACAGCAGTGCACTCTGTTGTCTGTTATGTTTTTACGGTTCAGCCCGATCTCATTTCTGCGGTACTTCTCCATCTCCTGGTCTACATAATAAACTGCGGCCTTCCAGCTGCAAGAAAAACCATGTGTAAATACCTTTTAGCATGTTTAATATTTCCTGTTAACAAGTGCTCAACCAAGTTAAGTGATTAGAAGTGTGAAAAATAGAATTTGATCATTCTAAAACAGCTTTTTAACCATGTCTAAATATTTAAAGAAGTTCTCAGTAATCGGAGCTGGGTAGTAATTGATCACATGTAATCTAAATTATATAATCAGATTCCAAAAATTAAGTACTTGTAACATTATATTATATTACATTTTAAAATACACATAGTCAGATTACAGTTACTTTTTTATGGATTACATGATTACATTATTCACAAAATGGCAGTAAAATAATCATAATTTATAGATTCTCTCTAATTCTTAATTTTTATCTTTTAATTTTCACATATGTTATGTAAATACATTTGTAAACCATGCTTCTAAATTGGGGGGGGGGGGGACCACCATTCAAGCAGTTAGATATGAAACAAATAATTATGCAAGTTAGTACTAAACTGGTGATGTATAGATGTGAATCATTATGTTGTCATCATATCCAGTGACCTTCAGTAACTGTTGATTCTGGAAGTCTGGACAAAAATATTTTAAACCTGAAAAACTTTGGGCATGTCATTTCATTGTTGTTTTCATGTTTATTCATGTTTGTTCATATAATGCAGGGATTCCCAAATGTTTTTGTCAGCCAAACCCATTAAAATAAATATTTAATTGAAATATCACTGAGGAAGTTCATATTTCAATAATTTAACAGCACATGCGCATGTTTACAGTTCTCTGATGTCAGTTAATGGTCACATTGACATGCCGGTAAACCAATAAAATATTTATATTTTTAGTGTTTAAATGATTTTTTATTTTACATTTTTATTATTTCATTATTAGCTTTTTATCACTGAAAAACCCACTGCAGTTCTTACACTAAGCCCATTTTGGGAAACCCTGGTGTGATGTTATGTTTAATGCATTTATGATGTTGATATCAAAAAATAAAAAATATATTTTCTTTCTCTTTTTTCTATCAATATGGCATGTTTAGTGGTATGTTTAAAATAAGTTTGATTAAAAAAAGTAATCTAAAAGCAATCTAAAAAGTCAGAATACATTCCCTAAAATAATAAACCTATTATGTTACTAACTAGTTTTCTTCACATAATCTGTGAGTAAAATTTGTAAGTAATCTACCCAGCACTGTCAGTAATTGCTTCCTCATTTTATTTTTGTATAGATTTTTTATTATTATTATCATTAATAGTACTTTTAGTGTAATAAACTATGTGTTACTGTTTGATTTTTAAATGGAGTGGGTTGCCTCATGATGTGCCATGTTGGGATGACACGATGAGCTGAATTTCACAAAAATATCACAAAACTACCTTCTATTGGACAATTTTACAGGGAAATAAATTAATCATAAAACTCTTTGCTGTTGCATGATGCATCTTCACCACTAGTTGTCAGTATAAGATTAAGACCACTGTTAAATGAATGAGTGGAACATATACAAAAAATGACTGAGTGCACCTTTAACATTTAAAATACCTTTCATGATTATTAAGGGCATCTCCAAAACCAGGGGTGTCAATAACAGTGAGTCTTAGATTTACTCCATCTTCAACAATGTCTACAGTGTTCTTTGTTATTGATACTGTCCGAGCTATCTTCTCTGCGAGAGAGAAATGGATACATTTCACACACAAAACTTCTCTGCAATTCAGTATTTTTTTTATAAGTAGTATAAATAGAAATGTTGTTCAATAATGTTAGGTTTACCTGAAACATCAGGCATGCATCTGTCTATATAGAGGTTTGTGAGGAAAAGGCTGTTGACAAGAGTGGATTTGCCTAAGCCAGACTCACCTAAACATAAAATAACACACACACACATATATATACTGTATATATATATATATATATATATATATATAACTGAAAGTTGACAAAGAGAACAAATCAGTCGAACAAATGAGATGAAAATATAGACTTTGTCATTTATTTATTCAGGAAAATTATCTAATATTATATATATGTGAATCTCTAGGATTAGCAGTTAATTTGAAGGTGAAATTAGAGTCCATCTGTTTAGAGGTGTTTTCAATAAATGGGATGATTATCAGGTGTAAGTGTGTGCCCTGTTTTATTTAGAGAACAGGGATGTAACAAAGTCTGATCATGTTTGTAGAAGTGAATCATGGCACGAACAAAGGAAATCTCTAAGGACCTCAGAAAAAGAGTTGCTGTTGCTCATCAGGCAGAGTTTGGACTCCACAAATCTACAGTTAGACAGATTGTGTACAAATGGAAGAAATTCAAGACCACTGGTACCCTCCCCAGAAGTGGTCGACCAACAAAGATCACTCCAAAAGCAAGCTGTGTAGTTGAAGCGGTTTTGTACTGAGGAATGGACTATAATTCCAACAAGACGTTGTGCAGGACTGATCAGCCGTTAGGACTTGTGTGAAACTCTGATGATGTATTGGGTTATATTTATGCAGAAATATAGAAAATTCTAAAGGGTTCACAAACTTTCAAGCAGCACTGTATGTATGTATACATAAAATATATATATATATATTTTCAGTGTCACATGATTGTATATATATATATATATACAATCATGTGACACTGAAAATTCAGATTTGCCATCACAGGAAAAAAAAAACATTTTACAAAACAGTTGTTTTAAATTGTAATGTTGTTTCACAATGTTACTGTTTTATTTTATTTTTTATCAAATAACTGCAGCCTTGATGGGCATAAGAGTCTTCTTTCAAAAATGGCATTGTGTGTGTATATTTATGTTATATGTTCCTTACCAACAACCATCAGATTGAACACAAATCCCCTTTTCACTGCTTTCTGTTGGACTTGGTTTGGCAGTGTCACAATGCCAACATATTTCTGGGAGGGACAGTGAAACATAATCTGGTTTGTGTACAGTATATCACATCACACGTTTTTAAAGTTTAACAATATTACTGTTTTTACTGTATTTGTGATAAAATAGATGCATAAACATAAGAGACTTCATCACACTTTGGCCACTAAAGGTCCAGGTGTGCAGCATGTTACAATACCTCTAAAAAGTCATGGTGGTCAAAGCGGCCCCCTGCAGGACTCTTGGGTCTAAGAGGTGATTTGTCATCAGCGGGATGAGTCTTTTCTTCAGACAGAGAAGAGGACGAGCCGAATGTCTGAGAGGAACGGATACTTTCATCTTTGTCCTCTGCTTGAGTGGAGTCACAAAGAGAAGTGTCAGGATCCCTGAGGAAACTCTCCGTTCCAGAGTCATCCAGTGCTATGGAAAACTAGCAAAAAAGGCAGAATGTGTCTGAATGTGATGATTGGCAGCTTGTGTAAATTTGAACTTTTCTCTAAACCTTTTCGAAAACTATGTATGAAATATAAAACTTACCTCCCCAACTAAGGCAGATTTTCATGAAAAGATGATGTGGCATGGGAAATAGACAAAAAAATTAACAATAATAATTAATTTTAGAAAGTAATTTCCATGACAACACTAACTGTATATAGCAAACATATTAAACATTTCTCTATAACAACAGCAATTTACTGCTAAGAATAAAGAAAAAATTGTTCGCAAATGTAAAAATTGACAGATGCGTTACCTTGAAAGTCAATGTCCTCAATGTGTAAACCTGTAGTGGATGTTTAGACATTGTGGATATAATAGATGCTGTTAGACTTTAGAGTTTTTATGTTTGTGAAAGACCCTAGTGATGGATGTTTAAAGGGGTCATATGATGCGATTTCAAGTTTTCCTTTCTCTTTGGAGTGTTACAAGCTGTACATGAAAAGATAAGATCCCTAAAGTTGCAAAGACTAAAGTCTCAAACCCAAAGAGATATTCTTCATAAAAGTTAAGACTGGTCCACGCCCTCCTAAAACGCCTTGTTTAAACACGCCCCCACATGTCTACGTCATTTTTTGCAACATCATATGACCCCTTTAAAAATAATAGTAAAAATAACCTCTTATTTTCCTTTCACGTTTGCTTAATATATTAATTTGACTTAAAACCCAATACAGTGTATACATCAGTCAGGGAACTCAGGGTAATATAAAAATTCATATTCATGCTTTACTTCATTTCTGGGCCTTCTGGGAACCATACGTTGGTTATTGACAAATAAAAAATCTTGAATTTAAATATAGTAATTAGGCTACTCTTAGGATTAAGAGGTCATTACGTTTCAACCTCATATCCAAATGTTTGCTCATTTAGATATCCAGATATTCCGTCGCTCCGAGCTGGGTCATTCCTGGGATTCAGTAATATTTCAGTCCCCCAGACTTTTAAAAGTGGAGTTAAAAGCTTTTTACAATACTTTGGTGTGCCCATTATAATAAATAAAAATAATTATTGCATCTAAATAATTTTGAGCATAAAATAATGTCTTATTTCTGTCTTACATCAAGCATTTTGTCATGTCCTTGAGGCACTTCACTGAGTTTGTACTTAGAAAATTATTAACAAAATGCGCACATGCAGTGTCTATAATATTTGGCAATAATGTAAGCATTTATTTGTGCGGTTTTCTTTTGAAAAATATTTTTCCAAAAAAAAAAAAAAAAGCAAGATGTTTTTATAAAGTTATGTCCCTCAGTCTGGACTCAACCCCGTCACACTAATTCGACACCCATAATAATTTTGACTCCACCCATATGTGACATCATTTACCAGAAATGACATCATTCAGGTCTCTTTATTAGTGGTGCGGAAAATGGTAAGTAGTATCATACTTTTTATTCATATTTTTGAGGCATATTATAGGCAGGGAGGGTGCGGTCAAGCTTAACAACTCAACCCCATCAAATAAAATTAACATGGAAATTTATTTTAGTCCATAAGTATATAGAATGTAGGCCTACTTGTTTTATTGCTGCCATATGGTCTACTCTCCTAAACTACACGGGGAGCAGTAACCATTTTGAGCAAAAGACAACCCTGTCACGCTCAACCCCGTCACAAATATGTATATTTCTCATTGTTTCTGGGTTGGAAACTTGTGACAGGGCTTATTTACATCATTTATTAATAATTTTAATTAAAAATATGTAATAGTCATGGTTTCAGTAAATATATACGTACCAAAATCATAACAATTCAGATTTTTGTTATAAATAGAATATTTGATGTAATATGTCCACTTAAACTTTGACAGGCATCCTACATCAGAAATTGAACCCACATTAGCAGCAGAAAGACAGTGCTGGGCATGCAGATATGTTGACCCAGAAAGAGGGGGAGAATATGAGAGAGAAACAAAACTGAAAATTGAAAGGCAATGTGTATTCTGTCAGATGTGTTACAGTCTTCCACCCTGTCACACGTTGTCAAGTCACCTTTATTTGTATAGTGCTTTATACAATACTGGTTGTGTCAAAGCAGCGTGAAACAGGAAAATAGTTGGTCAATAATGCAAGAAGACAATAACAGAGTCATTTGTCCAGCTAAAGTCAGATTCATTGATGATTCAGTGATGTCATCATCCAGTTCAGCTCTCTTCCAATAGTGTCTGTGCAATCAAGCGTCCCATTAATATTGTATAATGAATTAATAATAATTAATATTAATATTGTTGTCACATTAATATTTTTGGGGAAAAAAATAGGGAAGACAATTAAGAATGAAAGCATTTATTGTTGATTACAGTCTGACATGTTAAGGACTAAAACAATAAAATCTAGTTAAACATCTAAATTAAAAATATTTTTTACAAAAATAAAGAGACCATATATTTGTCAATTTTTAACTTCAGTCCTATAAAAATGTGAAAATTATGATGAATGTTACATTTGTTATCATAAAATTGTTATCAGGGACACATGAGCAGTAGGTAGATGTTTGTTTTATAACAAGTTCTGTGTAAAATCCCTTTTCAACTAATCCCATTTTGTCCGTTACGGGGTTGAGAATAAAAGGTGTCTGAAAATAATAAAAGGTCTTTAATGCCTGAGGTGGAAAAATATGATTTATTGGAGGTTTGATATGTGCCTGTGAAGTATTTAGAAAATGAATCATATGTAGTTGAAAAAGAAAATATTCCAAGTTGAAATGTTACCGAATCCCAGGAATGACCCAGCTTTGAAAAGGTCCTGGGTCCTCGGTTAAATCAGCGAAACTAACCGTTATTACATAGCGAAAGTTTATTGATATTAATAAATACTCACTGTGCTTATCCATTATGCTCCTCAACTGTTGAGAAATGCTAGTTTTGCCTAGACAAATGAGTAAAGCGATGACCTCTCGACAACCAGCTCATTCATCGTTACAATTACAGTTGAAAAAACACAAGAGTTTATAAACTGTAAAATATCCAACAGACAGTGGCAAATGTGTAAAATAATAGTAAATCTATGAAAAAAGTATTATTTCCTACTTGTTTCGGTGACTGAGCTTAGCCGTTAAACTGGCTCAAATGAAATCAAATGAAAACATGACATTTATTCGTTTCGTCATATGGAGCTTTCTCCTGAAGTTCACAGTATCTGACACGTGTAACACGATTAGGCATACATAAATGTATAATAATAATAATAATAATAATAATAATAATACTACAATCGTACTTCTAGACAAGCAACAAGCAATTTAAACATAACAGATCCGCTAAAAAAATATTATGCTAAATATAAATTGTGTAAAGCATTTTTTTTTAGCTTACATTTATAATACTATTCTCTAGAACGATCTATTAGCACCTTTGTGTCTGAGACCATCAGTACAAATAGTACAAAGTGATTGCAGCAGACTGTACAACTGAAACCTTGTTAAATATACAGTGACCCCAAAATGTATTTGGACACTTGTACAAAAAGTGCAAAATGTCTTTGCATTACATAACAAAAACATGAAATCAAATTACATTTATTGATGATGAATTAAAGAATTGATATTTTCTTAAACATTAAGACAAAAAGTAAAAGTCACTGCAAAAATGGCTCAGAAAAGTATTTAACTACATTCATACATTTTTAAGTGGGGTCACTATAATTGTCTGAGAATTTGATGATCTGGAGCCAGTTGCATAACCTTAGCCTCTGTGTTAAGATTGCGTCTTAAGAATTAGGCCAAATTCCAAACAGAAGTGTGTATCCCTATGCCCTACTCCCTTCAAAGGGCAGAGCCCTTGAAAGTGTGTTCTTTGAAGGGTGTAGGCCCTTCTGTAGGGCATTACTGTCTTGTATAAACGTTTGGAACTCCCTTGGTGAAGGAAATGACTGAACAAATGTTACCCTGACAATGCTCCGTGCGCATGCAGCATTAAAGGGGTCATATGATGCTTTTTTAAAGATCATTATTTTGTGTATTTGGTGTAACAGAATATGTTGACATGCTTTAATGCATCAGTTGTCGCAAATAAATATTTCTTCATATTATTTTATTCAAATATTGTCCAATTGTGTCTTATTTACTATTAGACTTTTTCAAACTATACTTGCTTAAACTTCCTTACACTACAGTCTTAAATCATATTTCTATCACTGACGAAAAATATTTTGTATTACATTAAATAAAGACAATTTTAATTTGTATGTGAAGTCGAAATCAACCCCAACTTTGCTTTGAAATGCATCGCAAGATTTCCTAACTGAAGATCACATGATCACAAACAGAAATCACTTCCGTGAAGTGACCATCGCATGTTCCCTTCGCTAATAGACTTCTGGAAGGGCACTTCGTGAAAGGATTAATTTGTTCACTTTCGTTTGGAATGTCCCTACAAATGGCATCCCCTTCCCAAAGTGCCCTCTTCAAGGGCGCAAAAAAGCCATTTGGAATTCGCCCCTAGTCTGACCAACTAGCAGTTAGCAAAGGGTAATGAGACTTATTTTTATTCAAAATAGAAAATAGAAAATCTATGTTTTAATGTAACAGACTTTAATATATAAATATATATATAACCAGTCAGACTAACTTGTAAGACTAGTCTAAGCATTTTATGCAACCGCCCACAGATCACATGAAGTCTCAGCTTCTGCCTAAGGCTTAGTTCTCCATCTGTTTTGAAGGAATCCCATAAATTTGTTTTGACTGGCTGTGGTTTTCCCAAAACACTTGGCGGATTTTATCCAGCTCTGACATCAGATGAAGTCCTATCTCCATGTGCATCAGCAGGTTCTCCAGCCACTCCTCTAATTTAGCAAAACTGGCACTATAGAAAGAAACAGGGAGAAAACCCAACATTTTAGCAAATTAGATTTTGTTTGCGGTAAGGTTATGATTTGTAAATGAGAATCACCGTTTCTCAGCCTCCAAGGCACAACACAGAACCGCAATGGGAAAGAAAGCCTCGGGGCAATCTTTGGACATATAGCACTCCAAGAATTCATTCACATTCAGTCCAAACTCCTGCGTGCGAGGGAGGTAATCTGGATCGGCATATACTCTTCCGATAATCTGTCATGAGGAATATACATATACTGTATTTTCAATTATATTTAAAATTTAAAAAATATAAAAAAGAAATTTATAAGCTTACCTCACAAACAACAATCCCGAATGAGAAAATGTCAACATGTTCATCGTAGACTTTTCCTGCAGAAAAAAAACAACAACAAAAAAATCACAAAACTGCAAAATGGTCATTCCTCGTCATCAGTCTTTGATTGTTAATTCATATGGCTTACCGTGGATCATTTCTGGTGCCATCCA